ATGAAAAAAACATTTCTTCTTAGAAGGTGCTTATTTACAATCTAAAACATATTTTAGGAATTTTTTCATTAAATTCCTTTTTAAACTGCATTAAATAATACAATTTTGTACAAATAATTGAATGTTATGCTACTATTTACAAAAATAAAATCTGAAATCCAATAAAAGTTCTCTATCATTTTTTCAATTCACAAATGATTTTGCCCTCACAATAAGACAAAATGGCCCTGGAGAGTATCGGGTTAAATAGACATCCTTCCAACTAAAACTGCTCTAATTAGTACATGACATTTAACCATCAACCTACTGTTCTTGTATCTTACATTTAACTTCAGACTTATTTATTCGTATTTCATTTCCAATTATTTTATGTATAAACATGTTTTGTCTCACATTAATTTTTTTAAGTTATGCTTTCATTTAATTTATGGTTTCTAAGTGCATTCTCTACTGCTCATTTCTTCTTACTGTTTTCTAAACCTCATCCTTTCAAACATCATTCAGACTTTAATTCACTTGTGCTGTGATATCTTAATAGATCTAGTGTTCAGACTTTGTTGATGATGGAGTAAGCATATTCCAAAACATCTGACTTGTAAAAGCAAAATATTTTTTGTCATAACCAGTCTTCCTTACTGTACAACTGCTTAATACTTACACTTTAACCAAGAAATGTTTCATAACATCAATGATTTGATGTAAATGCATTATTCCAAAATTTCAAATTTATTATAAATTAATTTTACTAAATTAAGTTGTCATTAACAATGATATTCTTTGATTTTTTTTTCCCCTTATAACTCCTTCCTCCGCACACTAACTAAAACATTAAACTACAGATACATACTGCACTATGCAGAACTTGATGCTACTTTATTAGCTACTGAAATATACGTTTGTTCTTACCTGAGGGCCAAGGTGTTTCTCTTATATGACTCCGATTCTGTGGCAAGTTTTGGACAGAAAGAGGAACTGGTAAAAAAAATAATACAAATGCTTAGTGTTGTTCAAGTGAATGTAAGTAAAGCATAAATGTACATGCATATGCTAATGTATAGTTAATATTTACAAACATGAAATTTTTCTTAAAAACTCATTCTACAAAATAGCTTGGACTATATTGAAAAATATCATAAATTTTTGCTTTTCTCCAAAATGGGAATTTTTTCCAATCATGTAAGCAATCCAGTCATTTAGAGAAAATGACAGTCTTTAAAATGTAAGATTTAGTGTTACATTACAGCAAGTTGCAAGTGTTTTCAAAGGTTGTATTGAGAGCAGAGCCCTATTTGCCATTTAAACATAATTCTTTAAAATCTAGTTGAACATCTTATTATAATGGAGCTGGTGATGTATACATTCAAAACTTGGATCTCAGAAACTACTGCACCAATCATAACTGGGTAATATTTTTTATAACTAGACAGTATTGTTACAGCTGAGCACTAAATAAAACAATTGAGATTTCCACAAAAATTATATGTTTCAGATTTAACCAATAAAAATTACAAACAAAAGGAGTAAGTTTCAAATATAAAACAATCAAAAAACAAACCCAAAAAAATTATTTGTTTTTCTTTAGTGAAAATTTCATGAGTGTTGCAACAGAAAAGCAAGGCACTTTCATTGATAACTGCGTCTACAACGAAATACTTCAATAAAATCTACTCTGTAATGTAATGCTGCAGTGTAATGATAGTTCATTTTTAAACTAAAATTTCAATATAATCCTTTTTCTCATGGATGGTGAACATTATTGAATGTCAAGTACCAGTACATTGTTGTAGAACTGTCAGACAATTCCAGAAAAGGCTGCAGGCCTGTCTTTGGGCCACAGGCCCAATAGTCTTCTGCAGAAACTAGCAGTTATACCTACCCGGAGGGTGGGTATTTCTGCTAGTATTACTAAAAGAGACTGGCCAGTTTTATATAACTATACAGCTTTACACTCAAAATATATTATTTACATGTGTTCATAAATTTATTTTAAAAACAAATAATGGTGGAAAAAGATGAAATATCATACTTTATATCTGTATCATAGAAGAAATCATAGTTCTTTTCTTAAATTAATTCATTCTACTAGTAATTGTTTCCTAAAACTCTAAAAATGTAAAACACTGAAGCCTACAAGTTAAAATAGTTGGCAATGGTGCAGGTTCATTAGCACATTCTAAGTATACTTATATTCACAGAACTTGACAAAACATAGAGGACTACCAGGAAATTTATATGAAAGCTTTTGTTATCTGTTGTACACCAAAATCATGCAATACATATCAACTAGCAAGGTTCATAAAAACTTTACATAAGAAAATTACAGGACTTTTTCCAGGACTCTCAAATCTTAATACTTGGGCTTTCCTGGCATTTTCATTCATCAAACATGAAAGAGTCTTGGATCATGCGAGTCACAAGATTCACAACATGAAATAAAAAAGACCAGTTCCAACATCCAAACATTTTCTTGTGTGCTAATTTTTCTTCAGTATAGCCAATTATTTTATGTGAGATTTTTTTATTTAAATTGAACTATGAAACTGTTTCATATCACAGTAAAAAAAAACATCTTATAGAAATATTAAAAATTTCTTAAAAATATAAAGCTTGGTATTTGTATGCATACAATATTGGCAATAGATTCATGAACCAGAAAATTTAGTTTAATGAATGTTTTGGAATATACACATTCCACCTTCAGCAAGTTCATACAGTAAACACAAAACTATAATTAGAAAATTATAACACCTGAATGTTAAATAAAAAACTTGCGTACTACAAAAAAACATCTATATAGGCAATACTGAGACTCGAATGAGAAGGTGACTGTAACAAAAAATAAAGTGAGTGAACTTTGATACAGACCCACTCTAAATAAATTAGTAAACGTATCTACACACTAGGGTGGTCGTTACTTTTAAAGTTCTGTTCCAACATATAAATAAGTAACTCACAACAAATTTTATCCATATTGAATAACTTTTAGGAGTTACTCAAGGCAGTTGAAATTTTATCTTGTAGCTCGCATTATATCTGCATATTCTGAATATTCTAGCACATACTGGAATATTCCAGAGTATTCCACATTATTCATAATGCTAGAGAACATTCCATATATAAATAATCCATGCTGTCACATTTTACATCTGGAATATTCTGTATGACATGACAGTAGTTTCTAGAATTTCTGTAAGGGTATATAAGTACTTAAGCAGATTCTTCAGTATTATATCAGCTGACACTGTATTGGCGTGTCATTGCAAATGGATACCGCAACAAAGAGAGAGACTACACTTTTGGCTGCTTGGTTCAGAAAAACTGAGCTAACACAAAGCAAGTTATCTTCAAATAGGCAAGTGCTGTATGTGTTTTTATAGCATCATAAAACATTGAACAAAACATTTCATAAAAGCTCAAAGGTTGTGAGCAAGGAGGCTGCAGCTTTTTTGGAACAAGGCTTAAATTTCAATTCATCCAGAACATCATGCCATTATCAAACTGGAGAAGCTTTCTGAAACATGGGCAAAGCTAAAGAAATATTAAAAAAAAACTGGAACATAGTAAGCTAATGAAGCAAAGTTTGTCAATAATCTGGATGAGCTTTTTGACATTACTCACCAGGGTGCCATGATCCTGATCAAGGTCCCAGAAGACAAGGACTTTCTTCTTGCTCACAGGGAAAGAGGAAGTCATGAGTGCATAGGCCAGGTAGATAATGTTATCTCTTTAAAGGAATCAAGGGCTGAGAAATTGAGGCAAGAATGAAAAGGGAATAGTGAACAGAGCAGGAACAACAGTGATGATTAAGTTGGTGGATACAGTACCAATAACACTAACAATGATGAGGATAAAGGAATAATTGAAATATCATCATCTTTTAAACCTAAAAAGAGGCAAGAAGCAGTATTATCACTTCCAAGTTACCACCAGCTATGGACAGAACAAAAATGAGTGACAAAAAAGCAACATTTGTCCTTACTACCATAACTCACAACATTGATCATGATGTGCAAGAGCTAACCATTAAATGTTTCTCAATCTGAAGGTCTCAACATTGCTTCTTTGAAGAACTTGCCAAAAATTTAAAGGAACACTTCCAGCCAATTGTTTCACTTGTAGGTTATTGAGATAGCACTTTCAGTCACCTTGATATCTTCCTCCCATCTGTGTGCACAGAAATGAAGTGGAAAGAGTGTGCTCCCTGTCACCTTAAATAAAATCATCTCTCCTTGTTGGTGAGTCATGGTTAAATTGCCAAAGTGACCTCAACAGGTGACCCAGCTTCTATCCAGTTTCACTAGATCCCATTCAAAAGCTTCCATGGACAATGTGAGGTTCACATTTTCCAAAATAGAAGAAATCTGAATATAGCACCAAGCTCAAAAGCTGCACAGTTTCAAACACTCTCACATAAAGAGAGGAAAAACCAGTTTAAAAAAACACACAGATAATATTTATGACAACAGGTGTGATCTTAATCATACAGCTATGAATATAAAATTCAAGTTCATAAATAAAAGTCCAGAGAAACAAATTTTTAAGTGAATTATTTTATTTATGGTAACTTTATAACAATGTTTCAACCACACAAGTGGTCAAAACACTGTTAATAAAGTTACAATAAATAAAATAATCCACTTAAAAATTTGATTCTCTGGACTTTTAAAGTATATAGTGGATTTCCTCTCCTTACAATAAGTTTATAAAGTTTATGAACAAATTAATCAAATTCAAAAACAATACAGTAAAAGTTATTTGATAATGTACATATATACTGACAATTATTAGGAATATTGCACTAGCTCCAATGAATGATATGTACCATAGTGTTAACATACATTAAGTTCTAACTTTCTGGTAATTTGCTTCTGCTAAGATGAAACTCATCTAATGTAGTTTCTTACTAACCTGGTGAAGGCACTGAAGAGTTCTGTCTAGGCAACATGTGGGAACAATGGGCTTGCAATGGTCCACTTCTAAGAGCACCTTGAAACAACTGCTTTTGTCTTGGCTCATGCAACTGTTCAGCAGATTGTTGACTAGATCCAGGTAAAACATATGGCACAAACTGTGAAGAATTTGACAATGAAGGCAACAAACTGGGTGCCACTACTTCTCCACCAGGTCCATTCTGTTGAGCACATACTGGTACATGCAAGTTTCCAAGTCCATTAATTCTTGGTGTTTGGTGATTATACTGTTCTAATTCTGAAGGTGGAATGGGCTGGTATGGATTCTGATTGTAAGAAGGATTAAACTCAACTGATGAAAATGGAGGGTCAGATTTTATGGAAACACCACCACATGATGATTCAAGTGGGGTATTTTTGGAATTAATATTTTGACTGTACAATGATTGTGGCTGCATGTTACCAGTGCAGGGTCTTGGTTCCCTGGCTGGCAGTACGACAGATGAGATGATGTTGACAGAAGCAGTAGTAATAATATTACCTACATATGCTGGAGTTGGTACTGGCCTTCCAGAAGTCCTCAAAGAATACTGTTCATATTTCTAGTGAATTTTATAAGTTTTATTAAAATGCAATTTTATTCATGTTTCATTAAGAATTTTAGTTACAGATTCTAAAAACTAACATATACTTAATCTAAAACTTCTCACATTGTACTGGTAAAGTACTTAATAAGGTTTAAACTGATCTTTAAAAATGAAAAGTTTTATACTTTTATAAAATAGTTATATTATTTTGTGTCTGTAATCCAATTATTTCCAGTAGATTCTGCATGGATCTGCATGCAAACTTTTGCAGTAACGAAAAACAAATGGAAAATTATTAATGTGTTAAAAAGTATTGCAATTTCTCACTGATAATTGCAGAAAATGAAATATTTAGAAATTTCAAGGCTTTGCCACAAACCTCTCTTTAAAAGGTACCATTTAAAAAAATAAAAGAAAATTTGTCCTACAATAAATGTTTCCAACTTAAAAGCTTATACCATAATACAAGTATCACTTATAATAGTCAACTTCTATTTTAATCCTCATCAGAACAGAACTGAAAAACAACTCGCATATAATGTGTTCAGATCTTCATTTCAAACACATCTCATACCATCCCTAGTTCTTCTTTCTACTTAAAATAGAAATATTTCAATGCACATGTATTTCATCAATGTGATGTAAACTAGCAATCATTCTGATAATTCATTAATATGTGCACAAGATCAAAAGAATGAGCAAAGTAACAAACTGCCAATCACAGTTGCCTTTCCACCCAAAATAAAATAGCGAATGCAATATAATTTAGTCCTTAAATATTAAGAGTAAAAAAAACACAAATCCAATGTTTTTGGCACAATGAAAGATAAAATATTTATATTAATAAATATTTTACCTTTCATTGTGTCAAAAAATGACAGTTTTATGTTGTTTTTTTAATTCTTATTATAGTAGCACAATGTACCTGAAAAGAAATTAGTCCTTCAAGTTATATGTGAGCATATTATCCTAAAGCCTCAAGTTTCTAGTTTGAGCCTTATCATTCCACCAATCTCACAAAAGTAATTTATCTAAATCCAAACTTTAAACATCTAAATTATGTCACCTCTAATTCTATTTTTCACATCAAACAAATCCAAGTCTTTAAACCTCTTCCCATAACTCAACTTTTCAAACAGGGTAATTTTACTAGTGTACTATTGCCCCCTAATATCCTTCCTGTTGTATAAAAATTCAGATGAGCCTCACCATAGCATTTAACATATAATTACAATAACACTGTTACTTATAGTATTTTGGCACTTGTGTATAAAGTTAAAATCATAAATAATATTAAATGCTAAACTGGTACACAATTAAAATTTTAATTGTGTACCAGTTTAACGTTGAATATTATTTATAATTTTAACATTGTTACTGTTAGTGTCAAAACATATCCTAATACTCTCTTAGATCTTTTCACAAATCACCTTAATCATGTATCCTATACAGATTGCCAATTAAAGGTATTTTTTTGCAAATTGATTTATCAATGACCCCATAAATCAATTACATTTTATCAAGCAATTAGTACAGTGTCCTCAAACTGTGGTACATACAAGCAAAAATAATAATTTGGTGGTAGGTGCTGCCAGTAAGTTGCTGTTCTTCTAGCCATCATTTCAGGGGGGGAGCTGGTGGTAAGTGCATTCAGTTTGTTGCCTTTCCTCTAATCAGCAGCTCAAGAAGAAGAAAAAACTGGCATCAAGTTCTACTAAAGAGTTTCCTTTCCTCTAGTCAGCAGTTAACTTATTGTTTTAAGTTTTCATTAACTAAATAAACTGTAGAGGTACATTATTTATAATTCATTTTGAAATGTTGTTAAAGTAAATGTAGTGCATTACAGAACTTTTTTTTGGAACTCAAGTAGTGCTGTAGAAGGTTTTTGTAGAAGACTACAAGATGACTGAGCTGTTAAATATTTCCTTTTCTTGTTTTTACAAGAGCAGATATTAGCCATATTCCTGACCCTGAACATTCTATGCAAAATACCGGAATTGACGTGAATCATGTATCACTGACAGTCTTTCATTTAAACCTTTGATTTCATTAAGTAATTCATTTCCATTATTAGTTTGATGGAGCAGCATTTTTTTGAGTATCTATCAGATTTACCGTTTCCAACTACAAGAACTACAAAAAAAAAGAATATCACTTGGTACCAGTAGCCAAACTAATCCAAAATTTAGAAGTGTGTGAGTGTAGAGGGAATGCTGAGATGATTAGGTCTATATGTACAAACAAATAATGATGGTATATATATATATATATATATATATAATATATATAGTAGTAGGTAGGGTAAGGGTTAAACGGTAGAACGT